GGAGGAGCGGGGAAAGCTGCCGCACCAGACCTGCGGGCACAGGAGCAGGGCTGGGGGAGGCGGGAGGGCTGGCATGGGGCTGGGGGGGCGCTGAACCCCACCGCTGGCAGCCCCAGAGGAACTGCCCAGCCCTGCCTGTCCCTTACCGTGAAGGCAGGCAGCACCGGCTGCGTGAACTTGGCCTTGAAGGTGTGGAGCAGCTGCTTGGTCCTGGCGTTGTAGAAGGACAGGAACCCTGCGGGCAGAGGGAGGGGCATAGGTGGGCACAGGGCTTGCAGCCCCCCCAGCACAGTGCCCATGGTGGTGGCAGTGCCCATGGTGGACACACTGGTGTCTGTGGTGGTGCCCATGGTGGACATGCTGGTGGCAATGCCCATGTTGGACACACTGGTGCCCACAGTGATGGCAGTGTCCACGGTGGATACACTGGTGTCCATGGTGGTGCCCATGGTGGACACGCTGGTCCCCGTGCTGGTGGCAATGCCTACAGTGGACAAGCTGGTCCTCATGCTGGTGGCAATGCCCATGTTGGACACACTGGCGCCCACAGTGATGGCAGTGCCCACGGTGGATACACTGGTGTCCGTGGTGGTGCCCATGCTGGTGGCAATGCCTACAGTGGACAAGCTGGTCCTCATGCTGGTGGCAATGCCTACGGTGGACACGCTGGTGTCCATGCTGGTGGCAATGCCCATGGTGGTGGCAGTCCCTGTGCTCATCCCTGGCCCTGCCCCATCCCACACCCACCTTCGTGGAAGTTGCAGTAGACGCCGATGCAGTCGGGCACGGGCACGTCCAGCACCTTGGCCTTGTTGGCGTGCTTGGCGCTGAAGCTGACCTGCAGCCAGTTGTTGAGGTGGAGGCACCAGGAGGCCGAGGTCTTGCCTAGCTGATCGAATTTACCCAGGCTGCGATACGCCACCCCCACACCGAAAGCTTTGCTGTCCCGGTCGTACCGCACCTCCCAGTAGTGGTCGTCACCATCGATCAGCGTGTCACCTGCGGGCATGGGGCACGGCTCTGCCTGGTGCAACCACGGGGGGTCCCGTCCTGTCCCCCAGCCCCACCATGTGCCCCGTGCCCACCTACATCACCCCCTGCTCCCTCAGGGGCACCCACCCCCTCTGTGCCCTCATCCCCTCCCGCACCCCTGGGTGCCTGCAGGGTCCCCACCGGTGCCCACCGGGTGCCCCCAGCTCTCACCCAGAACCGTGTAGGACTCGGCGGTGAAGCGATCTCTGCCCCCACGCCCCGAGGGCATCCTCTTGGGCGACTGCACCACCCTAGGACAGATGGACGCCGGCAAGGAGGGCTGGGTTGGCATGACCCATGGCAGGGGGTGACGCTGGGGTGACAACGGGGGTGCCATTACCTGGCAGGCGAGTTGGCAGGCGAGGCCGTCCTGCCCTTGCCGTCTTTCCTTGCCTGCCACCAAGGGGTCCCAGACCCCTGGCACGCTTGGGAAGGGGCAGCACGGGGTGGCACGGTGGGTGACGGGTGCCCTGCCACCCCCCGATACCCACCTCTCGTTTCCAAAGTGACCGGCTCAGAGAACTCGCCTGCCACAGCCTTGTTACACGCCCGTACCCGAAAATTCATGTACTTCATGTCAAACTTCAGCCCTGTGGGTACAGCAGGGTCACAAAGCAGGGCACGGGGGGGGGCACCATGATCCCCACGCCCCCTACAGAGCCTGGCACTGCCACCCAGCCCCCTGGGACAGCCCCAGCCCCCTGCCACCCATGGTGCCCGCTCCCAGCCTGGCACGTTTGGGGCTGGTTTTGCCCCCCATGCCCTCACCGGAGAGGGTGTACTCAGTGCCCTTGATGCCCTCAACCACCATCCAGGGCTGGTCTTCCTTGGCGCGGGGTGGCCCCTCGAAGTTGGTCCTGCGGTACTCCAGCACGTAGTGGTCGATCTTGCTGTCCTCGTCGGGCATCCTCCAGGCCAGCGTCACGCAGTTATCGGCCACCAGCGACTCCGCCAGGTCGATCTCGGGGGTGCTGGGCACTGCCCGTGGGAGCAGCTATGCCAGTGTCCCCCCGCCGCTGCAGCCCTGCTTCCAGCCAGGGTGTCCCCAGCACCCCTGGGCACCCCCGGGGCACCCATAGGTCCCATGGGCACAGCACCCATAGGACCCCACCTGTGGCATCCCAGAGACCATGGCATGGCACCCACTGCCCCCCCAAGCACAGCATCCAAACCCCCTCATCCCTCCATCCCTGGCACCTTCTTGCCCCTCCAGATGGGGGTACCACAGGGTGCCCCATGCCTGGCACCCCCCCCCAG